CAGCTTGTAATTACCGCAGAGAGGCTTATTAATACATATTTTCAATTTGAATAATGAATGAGAAGAGGGAGGGGTATTTTTCGCAAAGCAACTAAGTTTTTCCCGCAGCGAAAGGGGGAAGAAAGCGACAAAAAAGAAGAGAAAATTACTTAACACGGCTCCCAAGTTGCAATGCAAAAGCCAAAACGTGTTTGCCGGCAACCCCTCTGGAGAGACCCCCCATTGTCGCTGCCCCACAGCCCCCCCTGTCAGGCCAGAAAGCACCCCCTCTGGCCGCCGGCCATGTTCTTGCCGAGAGCCAAGAGTCATGCATCATGCAACACCCAAACGAAATGAGAGGCGCTTTTGGGGGCAACATGAAAGTACAAAGGCGAGCGAGGAGAAAACATGGCGAAGCGCCAAATTATGCGCGCATGGGTGGGGTGTTGCAAGGGGGGTTACGGCAGGGGGTCTTTCGAAGGGGGTTTGTTGAGGACGCGACAGACAACAGAAGAAGAAACTGCAAATAATTGCGCTCTCTCTACTTTTCCTTCTTCCTATCCTTCTTTCCTATCTTATACCATTTCTCTCCTTTTGAAGAGAGAGCGCACATTGCACTCGGGAGCTTTTTGGCCACTGCAGGCGAGCTTTGGGTCTCTCTCCCAACCGCCCAGCCACCCCCCACATTTTCCCCCCTTTTATGCACGCCGGCCGGTTTTCAAAACTGCAACTGTGTGTGGGTTTAGTTGCTGTCGGTGTGTGGGTGTGTTTGTGTTTGTATGGAGCATGTGTGTGAGTGTGTGTGTGGACGCCATTTGGGTTGACACGTGGCCGAAGTTTTGGAGCCCAGGAGCAAAAGCAGGCTGCGCTAAATCAGAAATCAGGATGCAGTGGACCCGGGCCAAGGCAACAAACAGAAAATGTACCACAAAAAACGTACAAATCTCGGTTTAAAGAGGCAGCACAAACCGGTTTGCCACAAACACACACGCACACACACATAGAAGGTTCAACTTTGTCTGGACTTTTCTTTATTTTAAGTTCACTTTTTAATGATTTAAGCGGCGTCGGCGGCGACGAGATATTGGAGCAGAAGGAAGGGCAAAAAAGGGAAGGGGAGAGGAGAGGGAAGAAGAAGGGAGGCAGCGGACGATGCAAAAGGCAAAAATCAAAATGGTGGCCCAAGAAGAATTGGGGGAGGGGGAAAGGGGGCCAGGGGGATACCAAAGAGGTAGACGACGGCGTTTTAATGCGATTGTGACGATGTTAAATGCATTGCCGCACTCACACACATGCATATGTATGCAAACGGAAAGGCAAGCGTCGCAAAAAAAAAACGCAAAAAAAACCATGCTGCATGCCTCTCTTCCCTGAGAGTGTGTGTGTGTGTGTGCGTGTCTGTGTTGGGGGCGCTTCCATTGTGGGGCCTCTGCTTGCTTGTGTGTGTGTGTTAGTGAACTGCAGTGTTGAGCAACGTCAAGAAACGTGGGCGTTGTTGTTGTCGTTGTCGTCCGTTTTTATGAAATATCAGAGCAAAACACCTGAACGCACATACATTCCATTTGAATTCATTTAATTTCATTCGTTTCGTTTCATTTCACTTCACGCCATGCGTCAGCTGTTTGGCGTTCGTTTTAATTTTATACCCCATACGCAGTGTATACATATAGACGTTTCTAATTTTTGCACATTATTGCAGAAACACACACACACTCACGCACACCGATAGAGAGACATGCATATATAGGCAGCACAGCACTTGGGGCTGCACTGCAAGAAAAGAGAGAGGAGTGGAGTGGAGGAGGAGAAGAGCAAGACCAAGGCAAAATGAAATGAAAAAAAAATAAAATGCCGTCGCTTTTTGTTCCTACATCGGAACGTACTAACACACACACACACACTCACTCGAGAACTCACACACACAGGCACTTGATACGATATTGTTGTCTGCTGCTCGCTCACTTTTTATATTTTTATACCTATATAGGATGGTGTCAGTGTGAGCGTGTGTGTATAGCCACTAATTGCAAATTGCAGTTGGCAAAAGTATCGCCAAGATACTGAAATTACCTTTTTTTTATTTTTGTTTTTTTTTTGTATTTTTTGTTGTTGTATTTGGCTTGCACTAAGAAATTCACAATATTACTTCGTTGCGTTCAATTTGAACTATTGATATTTTATGTATTTTGTATTCCTTGACGGCGTTGCACAATTTGTTGCTAGATTCCTGGCATTTTCTACATCGAATATTTGTATTTTTATTTAAGATCGTATCGTATATGAGATCACAATTGGCCGCCCGCCGTTCCGTTGTTACGTTTCCGTTTCGATTCGCATGCCGCGCGCGCTCTCTGCCAACATATTCTTTTTAATAAATATAACTATGGGAATTTATGCTCCTATATGTTATTTTTGTTGTTGGTTGTTGTATTTTTTTGCTTTCTTGTTTTTGGCAAGCACACTTTTCCGAACAACTGCAGTTGGCGATGGTTATTTTTGGGTATGTCCAATTTTTTGCGTGTGGCAGCCGCGTTGTAATAATGGCGGACGGCAACGTCTACGTCACCGGTTCTCGGTTCGCCAACGTCTGAGAATCGAACTGAGAACTCAGAACTGAGAATCGAGAATCGAATCGGGGAACAGCAGCGGTACTGGCAGAAGCTGAGGCTGTAGCCGCTCCGCTCGCAATTCTGGTCTTCACGTCGTCACTTGCGTCGCACAACAAAAGCCACAAACCAAACAACTACAACTCGGGGAGTCGTCGAGTCGCAGTCGCAGTCGCAGCCACGGAAAAGCTGCAGCGACAAAAGTGCACGCACACTATCGCGAAGGGAGAGCCCACGGAGCGTCACTCTCACACAGATACGTTCGTATCTCAGGCTGGCAAAAAGTTTCGCAATAAAAAAAAGAAAGGAACACAACCCAGAGAGCGAAAGAGAGAGCGGCGGAGACCGAACGAAATAAGGGAGAGAGAGAGAGAGATAAGCAGTGCGAGCAGAATTTGCACAACAAAGCGAATGGCGAAAAAACATGCTCTCTCCGAAACACACACAAGCAAACACTTCGCTCTCCCGTTCTCTTTTGCCATGGCTTTTTAAAGATCGCGGAAAAAAACACGAGAATCAAATCTTGTGTCGCGTGTGGAAGCCAAGTTTTCATCTTCATCTTCAAACTCTAGAAACTAAAAACAGTAGACCAAAAAACCAGACAAACAAAAGTGAAAATGCCTCATAAATAGGCTAAAAGAATTTCAGCAAGTTCCCTTTTACACAGAGAGAAATAAGTATGATAAGGCCTCTTAAATAGGCTAGAAGGGGAAGAACCATCTACACTAAGAACAAAAACAGTTAAATGATTTTAAATACTATTGGTTATTAAATAAGAGCATATAAAAACAAATATAAAGCGTTGGGTCTTGAACTCGGTCTTCTATTATTAGAAGAAAATTTATTTTAAATTTAACTTACTTTATAAATGCTATACCAAGATATGAAATGTCTAGATACCGAACCTTCTTTTTTTCTGTGCAACGTATCTTTCACTGTCGACGTTCCACAATGAGTTCCACAAAAAACACACACGGACCTACGAGCATGAGAAGCTTCTATGCAAAAAAAAAAATTGCTGAACATTCCTTCAAAGGGGTTAAATGAGCGAAAACAACAAAAAGAACGAATGCCCAAGGGCTGAGTGTAAAAAACGTAGATGCTGTCTGTAAATTTTTATACAACTTTGGCATGAGGGCAAATCGTCGGTCGAATCGTTAACTAAAATAAACGCACACAGTTGCATCAGCCTTTGCAAACACACAGATACGATTACAGATGCCGATGCACACGCACAGCCACAGATTCAGATACTTCCACCACAGATGCAGTCGTGAGATGACTGGACAGTGGGTTTGGGTTAGGGTTTTCCAGGGGGTCGTCGTTGAGGGGATAGGTGATGAGGTGGGGGGGAGAAGCCCCAACCCACAACGCCCACGCCGGCTTTCCGGCATTTTGGTCATGAACTTGTGGGTTTCGCTCGTCTGCCGGTTCCCAACAACCACTGCACCACCCACTTTCCGATTCCGATTCAGATTCCGACCAAGGTAAGTGGCTCGTCAGCACGTGAACATTGCATCCCAATTCAATACCAAGCGATTCTCTCTAGCGGTGTAAAAATAAACAAAAGTAAGAGGAATTCTTTTGCCACTCAGCATTCGCCTTTGAATCGAAATATTCTGAAATTATTTATTTTGCGGTACAACTTAGAGGGTCTCTCATGTTACCCGAAAGTTTGGGACTTCGAGATGAAAACGGAGACCCTGGGAAGTTGGCTTAAAAAACATAAGTGGGTGCCGCTGACTAACAGTAAAACAGCTGGGTAACCTTAGAAGCTGGTGAAAGAATTCGAGTGTGTTGGCTAAATTCCAGGAAAGTGTGAGAATGTTTGCGGCCAATAATCACACCCCCTGAAATATGATGAGGAAAGAGCAATACAAATTCCTGGGATATTTCCCTAAGAATAAAACCAACCAAAATTCGATAAGGTTTAAGATAAAAAAAAATTAAAAGATCTATCAAAGGTAAAATATTCTGGTTATATCTAGAATAATAAAAATTAAAAATAGAAGATCTATGGGAAATTTTTTTTGAATAGAGTTTTAATTTCAAAGGAAAGAAAGAAAGAAGAAATACATATTGAAATGCCAAGAATATTCATATCCTATAACTAAGTTAATTTCAGAAACAAATAAACTTTTAAGAATAAATATTGTATTTGAAATAAAGAGTGGAGATATGCACGATTCCCTTGGTTCTTTTTTAAGATAGACAACCTGAACACAAAGCCCTGCCATAGAAAGTCTTGGCCAGCAACCTTGAGTCACCATCCAAACGCGATATCTTTACGACGGCTAATGAAATTCTTTGTAGAATCGCCCCATTAAAAATCACAGATCCATATCTGGTCTATTTAGCAAAAGGGAGTGCCCCACCAGCAGTACTAGCGGTGTGAAATCAGAATTGGCGACTTACTCGAGCGAATTGTTGCTGCAACTTCCGAGTAGAGAGTATCTCAGGCGCTGTGTATCCAAGTGTGTGGGGTGCTGCTGCTTATGATGATGTATCCAATGGGTGCTGTAGATATTTAATCCGAAAATGTGCTAAGCTATATTTATGCGAATTAATGCGAATGTGTGTTTCTTTTTTCGTTTCTGAGTTTGTTACGTTTTTGATTTGCACTATACAAGAACTTCACTGGAGAGATATAGTAGATTCACTTGACCGCACTTATCGACTACAATGGATGTTTGTTGCAAAAATAATATTTGCCACTTTCGCGCTTTTCCGACACGTTGCGTTGCTCGTGGAGAATCGAGAGTGGAGATGCGATGCGATGTGGAGTGGAGATGCGATGCTCGGCTCGGCGGAGCAGAGAGAGTACAGTAGATCACAACACACCGCTCGGCGACTCGGCGACTCTCTTCAGCGCAATGTGGCCAGCCTTTTGACCAGGAATGCAGCTCTGCAGTAATTGCAATCAGCGGTGCATTCGCCAGCGAACTGATCGCCTGTTGCTGGGGGCTGTGGCTGCAGATCGTCGATCGGAGCAGCGCTGCACAGGAAGTGCACGAAGCCTCGGAGAACAAGTTACGAGCGCTCGGCTTTCCCGATCGTACCGTCGATGGGATTGGATCGACCGATGCAGTTGCACTCTCGCTTCGGTTCTCTTTTTTTAGATGTACGATTGTTTTTTTTTTTTCTTTATTTTATATGGGGCGTATACCCCGCGTGGAGCTTTGAAACCTCGATCGACGATCGTATTTGTATGGTATGGGGGTTGGGGGTTCCAGAGCCGCTTCAAAAGCTTCGGATGCACTTTCCCTGGCTCTGCGTTGGGTTACGTAAAGCTTACAGGCAGGCTGGCTGGCAGGCAGGTTGTATATCTTGGCTAATTTTGATTAAATTTCCTTTAGCTATTATAAATTTCGTTTAGATTTTGGTTTCGAAAGTCTCGGCCGACTGCGTTTCGAGGTGATCCAATCTGGTACAATCCAAACCGACTGAAAGGTAAATTGCAAATGTGTGCAAACGCAGTCGCTGCTTGGCAAAAGTTGATTGCTCTAACTGGTTAATTATATAATTTAAATTGTTTTCAGTTCGCCTCACTTGATGATCATAATTTGTCACTACTTTTTGTCACGAAATATGCACTTTTAGTTGTTGGCTTTCTTTACAATTTGTTTTGTTTTTTTTTTTTGTTTTGGATTACTTTGCTTTATGTTGTGTTTGTTTCACTTGTTTGAAATTTATAGATTTTGTATTTGATTTTTATGCATTTCCAGACATGTCGCTGCATTTTGCGTACGCTTTTAAAGTTTGCAACGCGTGGCCATAGATACCTTCCTCCCCGTTTTATTACAAGTTTTATGCCGCTTTATAACTGCGTTCGTTTCGATGTTATATTTAGTTGTTAAAATTAAAAGCGTAATTGGCTTGTACACTTAACCATAGTAGAGAATATTATCAAAGATTTACCGTCGTTATTAGTAATGTAGCAAATAAAGAAAAACTTAAACAAAAACTGGCAAATGTTTTGCTTAAACGTTTTAACACTAACGAGTTTTGCTAATGATGATGATTAATGATTAGAACTGTGTGATTCGATTCTATTGTTTGATTTTCCGAAGTGGCTGATGGCTGATTTTATTTAGTGGCTGGCTCTATTGCAGTTGGTAGATAATCCAAAGTGTGTTGAAGACGTCGTATGCGCGGACTCCGATCCTGAATAGAATTTTGACTAAAATGCTGATTTGATTTCCAACGTTGGCTGTGTATTTTTGGCTGTGGTTTTTGATATAATTTGTATTTCCGAAAGGTGTTGTTGGTCAGAGTTTCCTTAACCGTTTGTGTATAAAGTTCCAGATTTGTGGTTGCAATATTTTCGCATGGTCGTTTGCGCGTCCGCGATACTTGCGAGTGGAGTGGCGATGCGATACAGATACAGATACCCGGCTGGCTGGGTAGTCAGTCAGTCTCAGAGGCCCGATTTTCAGAGTCGCCGTCCGTTGGCGACAAAAAGCTTGCAGTCGTAGTTGCGTTGCACACAGATACACAGATACATATGCAAGCAAACTCAGAGAGAGAGCGAGTGAGAGAGAGCGGCCCAGCAGTTTGCCGGCAAAGCAAAGGTGAAGCTACGCACACAGGCGCATTCTGCGCTTCCTTTTTGTTTTGTTTTTGCCATTCGCAGCGGCAGTCGCAGTCGCCTGCATTGGTATTGCATCCTCTCTCTCACGCACACACACACACACACACACAGATACTACCCATACGTAGCCTGCTTTTTGTGGTCTTTCGCCCCAGCTAGCAACCACCCAGCTTTTTGCCGGCTTGTAGTCAAACCTTTGTCGCCCAGAGAGCACCACTCTATGCTCTCTCTATGGTTTTTTTGCCACACTGAATTGACCCCTCAGAGATTCTGATTCCGATTCAGATTGAGATTCCGATGCCCAAAGATGCCAACAAAGTCGCGATGCGTTTTGTCGCCAGGGGCTCTTGTATCTCGTATCTCGTATCTCTCTCTCTCTCACTCCGCCTCTACCCTCTCGCTTCCACTCGCTCTATGTTGTGAGGAACATTTCAATTAACTGCAATTCTTCTGCTCCCATCGCTGCCCGCCGGGCAATCCGTTTTTATGATCCATACACTCACCTCGCTGCCCGCCGCCCGTCCAAGTTTAATTAACTCGAAGTCACGGACAATGGCCGAGCGACAAGTAAAGCGTATCTAGATGCCCCCGATAAGATCTGTCAGGGCTCTATGCGCCCATCTCTCTCCGAATCCGATTCTGAATCGGATTTTCGCCACTCGCTAACTCAATTTGCCAGCCAGCAGGTGCGATGACCGCGCCGGGGAGTACGAAAAGTTTTGATGGGAAAACTGAAAGTACTAGCGGATAGCGGTTAGGCTGGAATTGGAAGATTGTAGATTTTTCTGAAACTGCTTTTCTCTAGAACATATTAATGGTTCGGTGGGATCTTAACGAAATAGCGCATATCTATCAAGGGATTGTAGATATTTTAAATAGTATTTTCCTAGATACAGTTGATGATCATGTTTTTATAAAGAATATTTCCAAGTTCCATAAGATAAGCCCATCTTTAACTAATAATTAAAATTCCTTGGAATCTTATAAAAAAAATGAAATAGTTGCCCTTGAAGTGTTCCCACTTTTACACATACTACTTTTAAGAAGTTTTTAATGATCTATAAGGATGTTTTGTATACAGTGGAACATCCATAGTTAAAAACTCCCTAGTCCATGTTTCATAGGGGATTTGTTAAATATTATCAGGACTACTTGTAATTAAGTAAGTCAAGTTCATCTAGCAAAGGATTTTCAGGAAGTTAATCATAGGAAGTCAGTAGATAATGGTTCAAGTTATTGAAGTATGACTGTGGGAGCAACAAAAGCCTCCTGTGGGCGAATCTTCTCCTGCAAACAGGGCAGAAAACGAAAGCCAAACGGAGCGAATGTGGGCAACGAGGCTGAAAGGATAACGCTCTTGATGCTGCTGCCTCACATTGATCACGATGACCATCAGAAACGGAAGAGGCAGCAGTAGCAGCAGCAGCATCATCATCAAAAATCGGAGGCATCATCAAGCGCGGCATCAACGCCAACAACAACAAAAATGTCCGTATCTGCGGCGATAACGCAGTTTTTCGTGCCGATCCTGTTTTTATTCCCACAGTTTTGCGAGGCTTACATCTGACGGGGGACGCAGTGGCCCCGTAGTGGCGGTGGCTATATGGTAGCTATGCATCGTATCGTATAGGGGAATATCACGGGCGCATGGTCATCATCAAGGCGATCGGATCGGATCGTAGCGCTCTTCTGCCGACGTCGCTGCGATGGTCTCGAAATAATAAGATGACATCCAACACTTCTTGCGATCCGAGAGGCACAAACACACAAAGCTCGAGACCAAGACGAAGACCAAGACCCTACCCCCATATGTGGCCGGTTCCCCTAGCAACCCCCTCACATCCTCATCAACCCCCTGCCATGCCAGCCGCAGTCCGTTCCAAATATTTTTCATATAAAAAATCGCATTTTTTGCCCTCTCGCGCATAATAAAACTTTTTCTGCATGCTTTTCATTTCATTTCCTTCGAGATGCCGGGGGTTGCCGAGGGTCGAGCGGCTTTTGGGGGGAGGGCGGCAGACAGCAGCGCACTTGGCCGCCGCACAAAGGAAGATCACGACGCAAGGACTTGTCTGCATTCAAATCGATGTAGGTAGAGGTTGAGGCAGAGGTAGAGGTAGAGGCACTCGTACTCACACTCGTCCCCAGTCGCGTCCTCGAATGTACCTGAACCTCTCTCGCAAAAGGATGGACAATGTCCAGGGGCCGAAACTTATTGAGCCACGCTGATATTTCAGTTTCGCCTTCGGTTCTTTTTTTTTCGCTCTTCCTCTGGCTCGGCTTTTTATCGCCGGTGGTTGCTCATGCTTTTGCTGCTGTACTCTCGGAATTGGAATCAGCGAGCATTGCCTTATTTGAGGAGTAAAAAAATATAGTTCTTGAAATCTCGAGAAAGTCCCGGGGTTAACCTACAAGCCAAGCCGTGTGGGTGCAGGGGTTATGATCATTAAAAGGATTTACTAACTTTTAAATGTTGGTTTTTATTTACTTGTTTAAGTTATTTATGACTGAATCAATAGTCGGATTAAATTTTTTTTTACGGTGACTCTCTACCACATTTAAGGAAAATACAATCTTGAATAATTTAATATAATATTTTTTCTCATATAATCCTGTGATATCAACTGATATTATGAAAACTGATACAACTAAGAGCTTATCAGCATGCAAAAAATTTGAATAGAAAATTTAAGTTATTTTGAAAATATTAACAGTAATCTTGTCTATAAGAACTTTTTAAATACCATTAAGTTTTTAAGTTCTTTTAAGCATATTTTATATAAATTGGGAAGGAACTAACTCATAAATAACCTATTTTTAAACATTAAAGTAAAATATATTTTAAAAAACAAAACGACTTCCCAAAATATGTTGTATCTCTGCATAAACAATCCATTATATTAATTCAACCAAAGTTTACCAAGGAAAATCTTGATTTTTAGTTTTCTTTAGAGTTCTTCAGCTTCTAGTCACCGTTGCGAAACGTTGTTTACCCAAAATCTTAAATGCCAGCCCAGAAACAGGGACAGGAAGTGGATGACCAGCCGCAGCGAGGACATCGCAGGAGGAGGACGATAAAAAAGGAGAAAAAAAACGAGCATGAAGGAAGGAAACTCAATGCGACATTTGCATTTTTAATGCAGACCCACATATAAAACTAAGTTTTTTATGAGTTGATTTTGATTTGCGTACTTCTTTTTATATGAAGGTATTTTTTTTCCGTTTGGCCAGCGACTGGTTCGAATCGTCTAATTTTTTTCGCCGCTTCCTTTTTTTTTTACTATTCTATTTTAGCTCTGCGAGAGGCGGTCGCTTGACCATCGTGTCTCCTGCCTTGGCCATTGTCTGTGCCACGGTGTCACCTTCGAGCGGCCAGCAGGATCAAGGGGATCGAGGGGATAAAAAAGGTGGCAGAGCAATATAGCCAGAGAGCTGACCACGCAGACAAGACAAAAAGCTAAGCAGAAAAGCACACACAACGGGAGGAGCGCAGTATCCTTTTGTGATATATGAGTAAGTTGTACCTGAAGGATATGCGCTGAGCCGTTGAGCACACACAAACTGGAGGCAAGCTGCACCACCATCATCATCTTTATACGACTCTGCCTCGGAGTTTATCATTCGATATCGAGCACAGCGTGATTATATTGTGGATGAATGGGTGGGCTGGGGATGGGTATAAGGATGAGTATGAGTATGAGTATGATGACCGCACCCGTGGCCTGGACACCCTGAAATCCTGGAAAGAGAGAGAGCTCTACGAGCACCCCTCGCTGATCTTCTCGGGTCGCGGTCTTTGTTTTTATGGCCATGGCTGGTGGGAAAATTTATCTAAATTGTCGATGGCATTTTTTTTTTGTATTTTTTGCATTTGATTCTTTTTGCAAAAAGGATTTCTCTTTCTTTCGTTTTTTTGTCATATTGTGGAATGTTTTGTCGTCACTTTCGGAATGAAGCAGCCATGGCGAAGAAAAAATATGCATAAAAAATAGAATGATGGGCCAGCAAATGGCCAAAGACCATAAATTAAGCCCGAGGCAGGGACAGAAGGGCAGCGCATCTGACAGCGGCCAGGATCGATGCGAGGAAGTAGAACAAAAAGCTGGCAATTGGATGAAGGTGTTAAAATATAATGCGCCCTTGTTCTGCATCCTGCCAAGGACCCTTCGATTCGAGGCGAGGCGATTGCCCAGGCAACGCTCCGATGTGCGCGAATAAATAGAACGCGAATTTC